CTTGATATCTGTGTGTTGGCACTGAGATATCTTCCTGAAGCTTTATTTTTTCCTAGGAAATTCAAACACACAGACACACACACAGACACACACACACACACACACACACACACACAGACTCACACACTTACACTCTAATCAAGTCAGCTCTACGCATTTTGTTTTCAAAGTCAGAGAAGAAAAAAGGGAAGGCAGGGGGCAAACATTTGTATGCCCTTTCCTCTTGTTTTGTTAGTGTTAGCCAAATGGCACAAAGCATGGAATCCTCTTTATTTTCTGGAAACTGTTTCAGTCAATCAAATCATTAGAGGTATGACCCTTTACTGACCATCTTTCTAAATGCCACTTGTGTGTCTTCATGAAATGAAAAAAGATCGTTTTTCAAATGGGACATCAACCACAGCTTTTTGTTGCTTTCAACAGAAATTTTATTCCTTGTCAACTAGAGATTAAGGATGTGTGGCTACAATTTCAGAAGAAGGAAAAATTAGACCAGAAGGCATGTTTATCTCTCTCCCTACATTTTACCTAGAGATAATATATGTAGCTGATAGCAAATGTAGTAATCTAGTCAAAAACTCCATTTTATATGCTATTTTATGCATAGAGTTTACCCTTTTCTACTTGTATTTACAGTTTAAATTTACTTTGCATATTTACGTGTATAAATACGGAGTAGAATTACTCACTGGCATTTCTGTAGAATTGCCTCGTTACCATCCACAGAGCTGTATAAAGTTGCAGTTCCCTGACCATTGTATGGTCATGACTCCTCGTGATCCTAACAATATCTTCTCAATCTTTACATCGTATATGGAAAGGTGATATCACAGTTCAGTCTCAGGTTGCTTTTGTCTTCGTATGTCACTAACCGTATGCCACTGTAATCATAATGAATCGTCTGACATAGTGTACATATAAGAAAACTTGATTTATTTAGTAAACAGTTCCTGAGATTAAAGATTTAGCAGCCTGATTGTCCTCTGGTAAGGACAGCATATGGTGACACATGACAGGAGCCCATGTTGGAACAGGCAGTAATATCTCAATCAGGAAGCAGAGACCAGGATCCCACCATTCCTTCTGAAAGCATAACCCCAATCTAATTCTCACTAGATCCACCTGGAAAAGGCTCTACCTCCTCCCACCCCTGTCACTAGGGAGATGGTTCAGTTTCATGACAATATGGATCACAACCTTACTAAAAACAAAACAATAGTAATGAAGTTCAATGCATCTCGGTGTATTTAAGAAATGTGGTCTATTTTCCTAGGGATAGTTTGCCTTTTGTCCTTTATCTATTTTCTTATGGAATTGTCATCTTATTGAGTATGGAAACTTCTTGTATATTAGAGAGTGGCCTCCTTGGGTTGGTGGGAGAAGCTGTAAACCTTTATTGTTTTATCTTTCACCTACCCCCTTGACACTTTTTGACATGACAAATTTACATTATTTTCTTATAGTCAGAATTATAAATTTTTCTGAATCACTTTAAAATTTTGTACTATGTGTCTTTCACTGTAAAATTACTTTTAGCTCATTTCTTACATTTTTAAATCTTTCTCATTTTAACAGTTAAATGATTTAAAATTGATCCAGATGTTTATGAAGCTTCAACTTTGTTGGTTGTTGTTCAAGTGTCATCATATGTTAAGTAGCTTCTTTTTCATCTGCAGTTTAGCATAGCATCTTTAGTCCATGCTGTCTTATTATGTATTTGAGGTCAGTTTCTTTATTTTCTGTTTTACTCATTGATGTATCTGTTTTAATCATTAACTCTACTGTATTTTATTACTCAAAGAACTTATTTCTTCCTCCCTGTGGGATATATTTTAAAAGTGATACTATAATTTGTTTCCCATTTACACTTAAGCAATGACTTCTAGTATATTTTCACATTATAAAATATTATTATATTCTTCTGTTGGTGACAAATTACACCATGAATAGGATTGATAAGGTGGCAAATTTGAAATTGAGATACAAGTTTAGCTGAGTTTGTGGGGCACATCTCCAATAACCATCAATGTGGTTAGCTTAGCAAGTAGGAGCGGAGGCTGGACATCCTAGGAAGTGGAGACTCAGTGTCCACTTACCTTGCAGAGGGAGGTGAGTTCTAAGTGAGGGTGGAGTATCCTGAATTTACTGCATTCTGTAATGTGTCTGAAATGGAACATGTCAGGAGAAAGGACATCATTCCCATCTGGGCTGGGTAGAGTTGTATGATTGTGTTTTCTCCGTGTAGTAAGTCTGGCAAGAGATAACATTTATTATGGTGCTCCGAGCTCTCCTTAAATAATTTAAAGATGGATGGATAGATGGATGGATGGTGTAGCATGTTAAATAAAAGACCCAGAGACAGATACTGGGGTTCAAGCTCCAAGCTAAAGATCAGAGAAGCAAAACAGCCAACTCAGTAGATCTTAGCTCTGCCCCGCTGAAATGGCAAACCTGTCTCTATGAATCCTCAGAAGTAAAAGCTCTCAGTTCCTGTCTCCTCCTTATATTCCTTTCTCTGCCCAACTCTATCTCTCCTGTCTCCACTTCCCTAGTACTGGGATTAAAGGCATGAGATCATCTTTGTGTGAGTTGTTACTTTTAGGACTGCATCAATTTCATGTAGTCAGTGTAATCTTGAACTAACAGAGATCTGTCTACCTCTTAATCCTGAATCCCTGCATTAAAGGTGTGTACTACCACTGCCTAGCTTCTATAGCTAAATAGTATGAATGGCTTTGCATCCTGAACCCTCAGGCAAGTTTATTAAATCATAAATAATATATCACCACAGAAAACAGTTTAAAAAGATAAATGTGGGCTTTTCAGTCATAGGAAACTCCTGGTTTAAGGGGCACTTTTCTTGTTCTCTAGCTAAAGGCCTGTGCTATAAAGCGCCAAGGCACATTACATGATATTTGATGCTACACACACACACACACACACACACACACACACACACATCCAATGGACCTTTTTTGAATACAGCAGCCCCTGTGATTAAACAGAGTGACTTATAGTCAGACCCAGATACCAAGCTACTGTGACACTGTCTAACCAGTATGTCATGTAGCTAACATTATTGTTTGGTAAAGTTAAAGATGAGGTGCTATTTGGTAAGATATCTTGTTCCATTTTAGTGCCAAAGTTCATCTATGAAAACACTGCCATTTTGTTTTCTGTCTCCCACACACCTATTTGTCTTACCTGTGACACATAGAAAGAGACCATGCATGTACTTAGAGTGGCACTAACTCTCCCGTCCCCATAAAGACTCCTTTAAGCTCTAGGGATGTCTTAGTGACTAGCAGATTATGTGATGCTCTCTGATATATGCACATATACCTTGGCAGTTTGGAACTGATGAAGATTCTAGATGCTTAAACATATCTGAAGTCTTCTTTGTCCTAGTATGTAGCTATAACCCCACTTAACCTTGTAGGAATGAAATACATAAATAGTAATTTAAGATTAAAGTTTGCATATGTAAGTTGCATTGTCAAATTCATCATTAATGTTCCCTTGTTTGGCATCATATGTAGAGATAATTATATTTTTATAAATCTAAAAATAATGAAATACTAACTAAATTTCTATGACCAAAAATGTCTTTCAAAACTTAACATCATTCTAGCTCATCTTCATATTCCCAGAATAGTGTCTGCCACTTAATATCTATTGAATGAGTAATGTAGTGGAATTGATTCCTTGGAAATTTGTTTAATATCAAGAATGGAATTATTTCATGTAAGAGATAATGTGCACACATGTCTACTATGTCTTCTCCTCCCTGATTGAGAAGGATGCCCGTGTGTTCCTTCTGAACTCTGTAGTCAAGTAGGCAAGGGAGATTTTGAATCTTCATGTGGGTAGATAAGAGATTATAGTAGGAAGCTACATGATGTCCCTACTCCCAATTTTTACTTTATGGAAACAAAGATAGATGGCTAGATAGGAAATTTCAAAATATTGTGACAAATTTAGCTGTCAAACAAAGGAACATTCCTTGAGAACTTGAAGAATTACATCAAGGCTAATCATGCATTTGAGATGCTCTTTTTTTTCTATAGTAACAAACTGTTTTTAAAATATCCTTACATTTTATATGCCATAATATTATAGATACTGTGCTAAACTCAAAGTTGAAGTAAAGATCATGGTTAAATGTTAAGACTTTTCTGGAATGCTGTGGTTTTGATGTTTGAGTTGGCAGGGTTCCCATTGCTCAAGAACCTGACTCTTTAGTCTGAGCCACAGCTAGAAGTAGGACATACATTTTTTGATTCACCTAGTAGTACTCTCCCACCATGCTGTGTTTTTGCAAAACTGTGTAACCCTAGCCAGGGCAGTAGTATATACTTGCAGTTCTAGGACTTAGAAGGCATAAGCAGGATTGCTGCACATTCAAGGCTGCCCCTGACAAGTTTCTGGCCATCAAGACCTACATAGTGAGATGTTGCCTCAAAAAAAAAAAAAAGAAACAACAACAAAACTTTTAAGAATATGTTGCATAGTAGGAAGGGTCACATGTGTCCAATACAACTAGTTTTGTTTATAACAGTTTACTTCAACACCACTTTACCACTTCCGGAATGCTTTAGCTATACTATAAGAGCAGAATGAACCTGCAAAGCCGGAAATATTTAGTATTGAACCTCTGTAGAAGAGGCTTTGCAACTCTTACTATGAATGAAAATATGCCTAGAAATTATCGCCCTCACCTTAGAACAAATTATCAGTGGCATGTTTTTGTAAAAAGCTAAAAAACTGACTTGGTGTTGAGCTGAATTATTGGTCTATAAAAGACTAGCATGCCTGCCTCTATTGAAATACAAGAGAACTGGCTTTCTAGAGAATCACATGGACTCAGAGATTTTAATTGTCACAATAAAGTTTGACTTAGCACAACACTGACCAAAAATGGGAAATTCTGTAGACTGTCATTTATGTCATGGAACTGTGATGGAAGCTGAACACTCATCAGATATCTCTCTTCTTGGAAGGTGGAGTGGATCCAACAGCAAGTGGTGAAAAAACGGACAAAGAGGGATTATGATCTCAGCCGTGCCCAGTCTACCTACTTCAATGACCCTAAGTGGCCAAGTATGTGGTACATGGTAAGTTCACCAATGAAATCTAGCTACAGTCATGTTGTCCAGTTTAGTGGTGTCTGAACAAAAGCTATTGGTCCTGGGAAACACAGAAGCGGTGACCTGGAACCTGTTCCGTCATCAAGGCTCACAGTTTGAGAGACAGCCCACTGTCATACTTTTTAAGACAGTCTGGTGCCCTAAGGTTTAGACACACTAAGACCTATTTGCAATCGTGTTCACCTCTGATAAACTGCATATCGTTGGAATTACTCTGCTGGCAAGTGTCACATGACATGCCGTCTAATGTGTGTCAGGAAATGTGTGACCAGTTCAAGGAAGCCAGTGTAAGAGTATCGGTAAGGGAAACCCACTAAAATTGTAGAGCATGGTGCTAGTCCACTTTAGCGTGCCTCCTTTAGAAATGCACCTCTCTAGTGCATTTTTGCTTTGTGATCACTGAAACATGGCTTGGAAGACATTACTCATTCTTCATCATGAATTCATATGTCACTAGTTTGCTCTGTGAGCTGTAAAAAGCTCTTTTTTTGTTTCTCTTTCTTGAAAATTTTTACTGCTAAGTGTTGCCAGGGTGTTTTCCACTACACTACTTTTTATAATCCTTGTCTCGAATTCTCCACATGTCTCCAGCTGATGAAAAGACACACATCCGCAGAATTTCGCATCCTTTCCACATATTTTCCTGGCTCTCGGCCTTTCATTCCTGCTGGCTGGAGAGCTCCTTGCTCTCCTCTTGTGTGGTGGGTCAGGACTGTACCACAGATGCTGTGTCCAGGACTTATTTCTCTAGTGTTCTCCCCATGTTATCTTCTGATGTTATGTTCTCAGCTCACATGTCTCGGGGGGCGGAGAACCTCACCCCAGTTGCTCTTAATAGTTACTTCTTTGTTGCTCTGATAAAACACCAGGACTAAGCGTGACTCAATGGAAGAAAGTTTATTTTGGTTTACAATTCCAGAGGGAAAGCCCATGATGGCAGTAAGCATTAGGCAAGATTGCAGGAGCAGGAAGTTGAGAGACCATACCTCAACCTCAAACAGGAAGCAGAGGGTGAACAGGAAGTGGGGTGAAATTAAATTTTCAAAGGCAACCCCCAGCAAGGCTGTACCTCCTAAAGGTTCCATAACCTCCCCCAAACAGCACTGCCAGCCTGGTACCTAATGTTTAAATACACCAGCCTATGGGAACCATTTGTCACCGCCACACTGGTGACACTCTTCACCAGGCATGTTGCATTCTAGTCATTAATGTTGTGCACATATTTGCTCTGCTGTGTTGGGGGTGAACTAAGAGAGGGTTCTCCACTTGGGTCTTAGTTCATATGTCTACAAGAACTGCAGCTGTTACAGTACTGGAAATACATGCTTATTTGGAGGCTGAGGGATGTGGCTGACAGATCCACCAAGTCTCGTTGTCCTGGACATATCTAGAGATGGATGGTTGTAGAAATAGCTAGAATCACAGCAGAATTTTACATGAGAGCTCTGTCCTATGTAAAGAGAAAAGAAAGGAGCCCTGATGTGAACTTCAAAGGTATTGAGAGTCAAGAAATCATTAAGTAGGGTTATCTGAGGGGACGGTAACACATAACAGCTTGCTAGCTCTTATAGAAGGACTGAATTATGAAGTGGGGGCATGAGAATTAATGTCAGCAGGAGCTATGGCATTTTTTCTGAACAGACAAAATTGCAATTTCTAAATAAAATTTGGAAATCATATGGAAAGCACAGGCACCTCTCTATGTGTGTTTATAAAATCAGTTGAAGGAGACCTTCCTTGCCTTGTCTCACATTCTTCTCCCAGGAAAGATTCACATGTCTCTCTGGACAAGAGTAGAATATAGCATGTCCCTTTTCCTCTCACTGTACTAGTAATACAGAAAGGACAGCAGAAAAAACAAAAACAAAAACCAAACAAAACAAAATGAGGGCTTCCGCTCTAGCACCATGAACTGCCTGAGGCTTTTGTTGTTGTTCCTTTTTTTAATTTTTTTACATTTTATTTCTTTCTTTCTCTCTCTCTCTCTCTCTCTCTCTCTCTCTCTCTCTCTCTCTCTCTGTGTGTGTGTGTGTGTGTGTGTGTGTGTGTGTGCTTCTATGTGGAAAACTCATGGGAGTCAGTTTGTTTCTTCTGTCATGTTGGTTCTGGGCATCCAACTTGGGTTGGGCTATCAGGCTTGGAGACAAGTAACTTACCTGCTATCTTGCTAGCCTGTGGTCTCCTTTTTGACCAAAGCCTCTTGCTGACTGAAGGCTGCCATGCCTGTCCCCCAAAGAGCCACTGTTTTTCACTGGATTTTCTCAGCCTCACACAAGGAAGGTTGAGAGGAGAGCTCAATGTGCTCTAAGAACTTTTAGTGCTCAGTGTACTAACCACAATGCTCTAAGCGCTGTATGAGTCATTTTCTGATCTTGTATAAATAAATGTGTGTAAATGTGACACCTGTTGTAAGAATGAGGAATGTGAGGTGCATGTCCGAGCTCACCTGGCCTGGAAGACATGAGATGCCACACTGGCAGACTGATGCCCAGCCTTCCAACGAGCAAAGAATCCTATCCCCACGTCTGTGCTACTGACAGATACCAGGAGAGATGCTAATCCTACCCAACATGAACTTCACATATGTTCACAGAGTCATGACTGAAGAAACAAGACAGAGTTTCTTTTTCAAAGAGTCCTATTAAGTTACTGTTTTTCTCTTAAGGAAAAGGACAGGAAACAGATTGTAGACCTATGATTATATTTCAGGCACACTGTGACCAAAGAAAGGCAGGACTCTTAACTCTGCAAAACTGTATTCAAAGCCCAAGGCTTCCCCTAGTATGTTCATGATTAAATCCCATAAACTCTTCTCCACTACAATGTGAGAGTGTTTTGCTTATTCGTGTGATTCTTCTATTGCTGTATGGCAGGATACCCCAGTGCTGAGTTTTCATAACAATTTTTATCTCACTGCTTCTGCTGGTCAGAAATCTGAACAGAGGTGAATGGTAGTGGCTATGCTCTGTTACACTGCAGTGTCCGGGGTTTCATTTAGACGACTCAAAGATTCCACAAGAGTGTAAGGTTCTGCTCTCTAAGTATTCAATCATTTGCTGGTGGCAATTGGTTCCTCTCCAGAGGGCCCTCACCAAAAAGCTGATTGGGTGTCAAATGACATTATGGTCATCTGGGAAGCATGATTTTCTATCTAACCTTAGAAGCCATAGAGAGTTATCTAATTTGTGGTTAGTGTTAAGAAGTCAGCTGTGCTTCTACACTGAAGGAAGCATGGCTCACTCTGTGTCTCCAGAGATGACCACCAAAAGTTCCACGAGATGTTGTGCAAGAAGCATTGCACAGTGCCCAGTACCCAGATTATATCATAGCTATTGATAGTGGATCCATACATCTGTGTCATTATATTTTGCAACCATCTGTTTCCCTGCCATCAATTTTTATTTGTTGTTTTAATAAGCCTTTAAGAAAGTGAGAGCCTATGACCAGTGAGCATTCTTCCTGGTCATGTTATACAGGTGAGATAAAGCACCTGTTCATTTCTTTCTTTCATTCTTCAAGCTCTGATCCATGCAGTCCATAATATAGTGTCATCTAGCTACTTGGTGAGTCTCCATAGGCTCCTGCCTCCAGATCATTAGCCTGAGCCTATTCTTGTCATTCCATATTGGTCATAGGAGAGAATAGATTAAAGGCAAGAAGTGCCTGAATGTTCTTTTAATTTAATTTAATTGTCCTTCCCTGCCTTGGATAGTGGTAAGCAGAGTCATTCTGTATAGCCTTGAAGCTTGGACTCTTTGTCCAGAAGCATGAGTTTAGAGAGTTCATGCTGCACATGATGGTTGTGAAGTTCCTCCTCCACCCTAACAATCCTCTCCGGTCCACATCCAGGAATCAGAAGGATCAATACAGAAAGAACAACTCACTTCCTGTTACATCAACCCCTGCCTTTCTTCCATCAGGCATCTGACAAAGGCTGGCTGTTTAGAAACACAGGTCCTGTGCCTCCTAAGATCAACACAACAGAAAAGGACAAGATAAGAACATACCAGAACTTGCTGGGGAAGTAACTCCTATACCAAAGCTTCCCTGGGGTCAGGTGCATGCGTGCAGCCACTGGTACTCAGACAGAGGCTGTAGTTTTGTTTGTAGATTGAATCTTCTTTAAGAATCTTCACCCCACCATCACCAGGAAGTGACGCTTTGCATTTTGGTCTGTAATGGACCTCAGGCAGTGGGGTGGTTCTAATGTGCATATGTGGCAAATGTTGAATAAATACTAGTTGTATGAATGAATGAACAAACCTGCTATCTTTCTGGAGCAGAGAAAATAATTGCCTGCATTTAATGAGTTTCCCATGTTATGCCAAGTCTCTTGCTAACTCTCTTATATAGTAGATTATTGCCAGTGTTCTAGTGAGTGAGGCGTTATTATCATTGCCACTTTATGGATGAGGACATTAAAGTATAACAAAAGTTGCCGAAGGTCACCTACTGAGAGCTAGCCCAGTGTTCAGAGCCATCTTTGCACCTGCAGACCTAGGGGTCCAGTTTCTCTCTGTATCTGTGCTTCATAAAATGGCAGGCACAGAATCACCTGGAGGGCTTCAAACCGATTGCTGCCCATCCTCTCCTGTTTCTCCCACAGCACAGTTGCATTCCTTAAAAGGTCCCTACTGATGTGATGCTATTGTGTAGGAGTCTCTTTGAAAATCCTCCTGCTTGGCCTTATCTTGAACACATGGTTATAATAGCGTAGCTTGTTTTATCTTCCAGTCATTAGACAGAAGAAGAAGGCTTTTAAACTTCTGGGGCATTTTAAAGCACACCTAGTCAGTTTATATTTGCCTTGGTCCCATCTCTTCCGACAGCATTTTCTATTCGGAAAACTGAAAAGCTTAATATGAAAAGATATTTTCATTTAACCTGAAATTAAACTGATTGAAAATATCCCTGGCTTAGCAATCTTCTCAAGATGCTTCAAAAACAAAACTTGGTGGGTAGAAAGG